ACACAACACAACTAACTTGACCCCAAGCTTTGACCCCAAGTTCCTTCTCCTCCAGCCCTCATGCAGCCTCTCTGAGGGCCCAGGGCCCTTGCCTCCCTCTAGAGCTGGCCCCACACTCTAGTCAGTGGCCTAGAGGGCCTTGACCCCTCCTTGCAAGTGGGCCTCATGAGAAGATTTAGAAATCTGCAATACAGGGTGATTTATCATGGTGTCTAACCACGACACCACCCGGTGGAACCAGCCAGCGCAGGCCTGTTGGTGTGTAAATGCCTGAATGCTTCAGAGCGCAACCCCAAACTGACCCCGCAGCCTCCTCTCACTCAGGTTTTTCAGGTCACCAGCAAATCTTCCCTAACACCCACTTGGTCCCAAGCCTATGGTTGGGCATCTTTGGGCATCCCATCTATTAGTCTGAGGAGAGAAATGTGGACAGGGAAACTCCTAGACTTGCAAACGTAGGCTGGTGTCCAAAGGAGGACCCCAGTCCAGGGAAGAAGAGAGGAAGTAATCAGAAGGGCTGTCTTGGCTTCTCTTTGGCCTCTGAGACACAGTTAGCAATACTAGCAGCTTCAAGGAGGAGAGTTTATTTGGGCTAACAGTTTTCAGAGATTTCAGACTGTAGCTGTGTGGCTCAAGGCAGTACGGCATGGCACAGGACACAGGGGAGGCAGGCTGCTCAGGGTACGGCAGACAGAAAGCAGGCTGAAGGGAGTGGTAGGGGAGGCAGATAGGCACTTCCAGGCCACACGCTTGGTTTCACACCTCTTTTGATCAGGAAGCTAATAAGAAATTAGCTCTACAGCCCAGGTGTGGTAATGCACGCTTTGAATCTCAGCACTCAGTCCCCTTGGCTTACGTGGAGAGTTCAAAGCCAGCCTGAACTACATAGTGAGACCCTGTCTCAAAAAAAAGAAAGGAAGGAAGGAAGGAAGGAAGGAAGGAAGGAAGGAAGGAAGGGAGAACAAAAGAAATAGCTATAAACCCCCATAATCCAATCATCTTCCAAAAGCGTGCCTGTGAGCCCTGGAGGCCATCTAGACATGAACTATAACCAGGAGTTGTGATCCAAAGATTACAAATCCTAGGCATAGGTCCTAAGGAAATTCCTGCCGGCTGGGGCCTGCCCCTAGCTTGTATACAAAGTAGGCTCTGCTCCAATTCCAAGGTTGTTTTTGAGGACTTTTTTGTCCTGTTGATGGTGCTGCAGACAAATCCCAGACCTCCCTGGTGCTAGGCAAGCATCCTGCCACTGAGCTACATCCCCAGCCCGCTTCAACAGAAATTAGTCTTGCTATCCTGCTGGCCCATGAAATCCTGGGCAGGAATCTCACTGAGGCAGACCTCCAAACCTCTCTCCCTTTTTATTTATCTTTTCCTTTTTTGAGACAGATCTTGCTCTGTAGTCCAGGCCAGCCTCAAACTCGTAGCATCCTCCTGCCTTCAGCCTCCCAAGTGCTGGATTTACAGGCATGCACCACCATGCCTGGCTCCTGCCCCCTTCTTGTAAGTTTATAATTACTCTGATCCTGATTCAAGTCTGGGCTGGTGCTTTGATCTGGCTTGATTTCTAACCTCAGCTGATTGACCCCAGAACTCTTAGACTCAAGCAGTACTCTCCCTTCAGCCTCCTAAGTATCTAGGACCGTAAGTGCGTGCACACTGCCACCCCCCGGCTGGCTTTGATGACCAATGGAAATCAGTCCTGGGCTTCCAGCCTTCCCCTTTCCCAGGCTCCAGCTGTGTGACCCTAGGCCAGTTACACAACATCTCTGAACTCAGCCTCCTGCTGGACAAAATGGGAATAAATGGATGGCTAAATAAAACTGCCAGAGACCCATAAACACAGCCCCATGGAGCCTAAAGAACAGAGACAAACTAGAGTCCCTGCTGCTTGATCCTGGTCATTGCCAAGCCAGGAAGCCACAAAGTAAGGGTCTCATATAAAAGCCATCTTCTAGTGTCCTGAGGGCTCTACTCTAGTAGACACAGGGCCGGAATCAAGGCAAGACAGGTGAAACAGGAAGATGAGATCAGATTTCCTGAATTTTCCTTTGGTCTCTAGCTCCAGTATGTCTCGTACAAGACTGAAACTGATCTTGTCTTATTTAAGTTCTTAATATTGTATTCATGATGCCAGACATCGTGGAACACACCTATAATCCCAGCACTCAGGGGGCTGAGGCAGGAGGCTCCCCGTGAGTTCGAGGCCATTTCTGGGCTGCAAAGTGAATTCAAGGGAATCAAGAACTACAGAGCAAAACCCTGTCTTCAAGAAGACAAAAAAAAAAAAAAAAAAAAAAGTGAGCCCCTAAATTAGACTATTAGACTTTTGGATCACAATGATGAGACAAGGCAGGTTTTATCGACTGTGACCAATGTGCCATTCCGGTGGGTCATGCTAACAAAGCTGTACCCGCATGGGACCAGGAAGCATGTGAGCAACCTCTGCACCTTCTGCCCAATGTTTCTGTGAACCTAAAACTAGCCTAAAGTTTTGAAAAAGGAATCTTTTTCAGCCAGGTAAAGTAGCATGTGTCTGTAATCCCAGCACTCAGGAGGGTAAGGCAGGAGGATCATGAATTTGAGACCAGCCTGGGTAACATAGTGAGTTCAAGGCCAGCCTGAACTGCAGAGTGAGACTCTGTCTCAAAACACAAAACAAAAAGAACCCTTTTAAAATAAAAAATAATTTTATTTTAGTACCAGGAATCGAACTCAGAACCTTGTGCTTACCAGGCAAGTGCTTGTGCCCCTGAGCTATACCCCAGGCTTTTTTGATTTTTTTGAGACAAGGTCTCACTTTGTAATTCAGGCTGGCTTTGCACTCACTATGTAGCTCAGGCTGACCTCCAATTCTCTGCAATCCTCCTGCCTCTGAGCACGCCTGTGATCCCAGCCCTTAGGAGGCTGAGGCAGGAGGATGCTATAAGTTTGAGGTCGGCCTTTACTACATAGTGAGATCCTGTCTCAAAAAAGGAAAAAAAAAAAAAAAAGGAGAGAGGTTTGAAGGTCTGCCTCAGTGAGATTCCTGCCCAGAATTTCATGGGCCAGCAGGATAGCAAGACTAATTTCTTTTGAAGGGGGCTGGGAGTGTAGCTCAGTAGCAGAGGATTGTGCTGGGATCACAGGCATGTGCCACCATGTACAAATAATTTTTTTTGAGACAAGGTCTTGCTATTGTAGTGCAGGCTGTAGTGCAGACTGGCTTTGAATTCATGTTATAGCCCAGACAGGCCTTGAATTCATGGCGATCCTCCTGCTTCAGCCTCCCAAGTACTGTGATCACAGGTATGCACCACCACACCTGGCGCAATCAATTTATCTTGATGACTGGTTTTTAGCCGCCCCCAAGGAAGATGTCTTCTCCTAGGCAGTGCCCACATCCTCTACTTGGTGCTACCAGAAAGGGCCCCTCGTCCCCAAATCCTTAGAAACTTGGGCCTGGAGGAGGATACTGCCCATGAGGCGTGTATTGCATTCATCTAGTCCATCGTGTCCTACTTCCTGCACCCAGCTATGTGCTGGGTGAAGAATATCTGATAGCTGAGTGGGTCTCACATGTGGCTCCCTGGAGAGTTTCAGTCCCGGACACTCTGGGCTTTCCCTGGCCTGACTCATTCTAAGTCCCAGGCCTGGAGGAACTCTTCCAGGTATGCAGTACAGAGAAACCGTTCCCATGCACAGCAGGCCAGCCTCATGGGCCCACCCCCTGATGTCTGGATAAATGAGAGGCCGGCCCATTCACTAGGACTCAGCCACAAGCACCCAAGGAAGTGGAAGGACCCTCACTGCCACCCCAGGTGAGTCCAGAACAAACCTCAGGCTCCCCAGTGCTCAGGCTCAGCCCTGGCTCTTAGCTACATCTGGGGATCAGGGGCTGCAAGGGGGTAACAGCTGACATTGTCAGTTGCTGTGGCCTTGGAGCAGTCCTCAGCAAAGACAATACTTGCTGGGTGTGGTGCCACATCCGTGTCAACCCACCTATTCCTCGGGCAGCTGAGGCAGGAGAATGTCAAGTTTGAGCTGAGGCTAGGCAAACTAGTGAGACCCCGTGTCAAAATAAAATGAAAAGGGCTGGGGGGTGCAGCTCAGGAGTAGAGCCTACCTAGTACGCACAAGACCCTGATTTCAGCTCAATCTCCAGTAGCAAAGAGGCTGGGGAATATTTGTTCTGCCACCCATTCTTTGGGTGAACCTGAGCAAAACAAAAGTCAGTCAGTCAGACAGACAGATAGACAGGCCATGCCACTGTGCCCTGAAAGGAGATATTGGCATTTTGGCCTCTTCCTGTTTTTGTTTCCCAGCTGCCATGCACTGAGCAATTTCCTTCACTGCCTTTTCCCACCAAAATTTGCTGCCTCGCCATGGGCTGAAGGCTCTGAGATAATGAGCCAAAATAAACCTCTCATCCTTTAAAGTTGATCACTTCAGTATTTTCTAAACACTCTGCACAATCTGTTCTTAGTTTTGTTGTTGCTATTCTTTGAGAAGGGGTCTGGGCATGTATCCCAGGCTGGCCTTGAGTTCATAGGGATCCTCCTGCCTCAGCCTCCCAAGTGCTAAGCTCACAGGCATACCCCACTATCCACAGCAACACACTGTTCTTACTAGGCACCTGAAAGTCTCCCCTGATGGATAACAGTGGCTGCAGGGGTTTTTGCTAGAGGGAGAGGGCAGGGCTTCCTGGATGGGCTTTGTTGTACCTCTCTCACCAATGGGAAAAATTTGCTGGAGTCTAAAATACCCTCTTGGTGGGCCAGGGAGATAGCTCAGTAGAATAAGTGCTTGCCTGGCAGGCACAAGGGCCTGAGTTCAATCCCTGGTCCTGCCTAAAATACCCTCTTGGATGGAGCTGGTTCAGTGACCCTTACATGAGGGACAGGAACAGCACAGGAGGGAGAGACCTAGGGGCCCACATGACCTTGACCCAGGGCACTCTGCTCCTACACACCTGCACCTCCCTCTGCCTTGCGGGAAGCCACAGTGTCACTCACCACTGGACTTTGACAGGGGCCAAGGGCTGTGCTCAGCTCTCCCACTTGTCCTCTTCCAGCACTGCCGAGGTTCTTTCTGAGGCCAACCAGACATGTCCCCTGGAGTCTGGAGCCCCATGATGAGACCCCACAGTGTCCTCTGGATCCTGCTCGGATTGCTGCTATGGCCAGAGGTCAGAACAGGTGAGTCAGAGGGCAAAGGCTTGGGGCCAAGACGCTCAGCTCCACGCAGGTGTACAGTGGTCCCTTTAGTGTCTGGCCCTGAGTGGGGCAAGGCCAGAGAGACCAGCACTCAAGGAGCCTCCAACCTGGGGACTCAGAGGCTCCCAGCCCCATAGAATCAAAATAGAAATGGAGGCCAGGCACAGGGGGACATGCCTGTAATCCTGGCACTTGGAAAGCTACCCAAGTACCCTGCAAAGCACTTGGGAGGCTGAGACAGGAGGATCCTAAATTTGAGGCCAGCCTCCGGAATTTAGTCAGACCCTGTATCAAACAGAAAAATTAAAAGGCTTGAGAAGATGGTGTCCCTCTGCACTCCCTGGGTTAAATCCCAGTCACACACGCGCGTGCGCACACACACACACTGCCTACAGTGGGTCCTGACACATAGTAAATGTTTAATAAATATTGGTGATTTATCCAGTAACCCCAGCTCTGGGCCAGGTAACCTAAAACCTCTAAATGCTAGGTCTTTGCCAAGTATGGTGGCACACACCTGTAATCCCAGCACTCTGGAGTCTGAGGCAGAGGACTGCTTTGACTTCCATGCTGGGAATAGGTGCTGTGTCCCAGCACTTGGGAGACTGAGGCAGTGGGATGCCACAAGTTCAAAGCCAACCTGGGCTGCTACTTACTCTCTTGGGATGGGCCAGCCTGAATGAACTACACAGTGCAACTATAATAATAATAATAATAATAATAATAATAATAATAATAATAATAATAGCAATAATAATATTCTATGTTTTTAGCCATTGAAAAGGCACAATCTCACTCTGCTTCTTTTCTTGGGCATCTTCCCAGATACCTTTCTCTCTAAAACGCCTAACTCCAACCTGTCACCCAAAATGATAAATTGGTTTTTGTTGTGTTTTTTGAGACAGGATCTCACTGTGTGTCCAGGCTGGCCTTGAATTTGTAGTGATTCTCCTGCCTCAGCCTCCCCAGCTTGGATGACAGGTGTGCCCCACCATGCCTGGCTACATCTTTTATCCTAAACATCTGGGGACCCTCTGTGTCTTTGTCACACCACCACACCATCTCCTCATCTCTCTTTCAGCACCCTAAGAATCCATTTCCTTGTGGCAACCATAGAAACAATCTTAGAATGCCAGCCAGGCCTCTCTTTTTCGCCTGCTTATAGTCTTACATGGCTTCCCAGAGCTCCCAGCTCCTTAACACACAACAGTCTGACTGTCTCAGTTTCCCCCCTGTCCACAAGGACAGTTTTGGGAGTCAACAGTTTATCAGGTGGGGAGCTAGGAGGACAAAATATGGGGTTAGATGGGGGTGTTCAGAGCTGGATGACACTTTCTCTCTCCTATAGCCTCCTTGCCCCTCGTTATGGACTCTGTCATCCAGGCCCTGGCTGAGATCGAGCAGAAGGTACCAGGGACCAAGGTCAACCACAGTGCCTCTGCCTGGTTTCTATCAGCCCAGCGCTCTGGGCCCCTCCATCCCTTACACCACCTCCTGCTAAACGTGCCAAGTCGCAAGGTCACTGAACTGAAGCCTCGACCACTGAACCCAGAGCTTCAAGACCTGGCTGAGGAGGTGGCCAGACATGATGTACGGGATGGGCAGGAGTATGGCGTGGTGCTGGCACCTGACGGCTCCACTGTGGCTGTGAAGCCTCTGCTGGCAGGACTGACAGCCGGACTACAGGTGCACAAAGTTTTAACCTTATCCTTGCCCTTGGAGAGCCCGGCCACCCCTCGGGATGCTGGCCCCACGTCCCCTGGACCCACAGGTGCTTCTCCAGACATCACCCTTACAGATGCCAGAGTCACCTCACCAAAAGGCAAAACCAAATCACTCAGCGCTAGAGACAGCTTCTTGGCAATCACCCTGGCTGCAGATCTGGGCCTGACCTTCCTCCAGCATCCCCAGAAGAAGGGCCTCCCAGGCCTGGGAACTGACGGCTGCTGGGACCAGCTCTCTGCCCCCCAGAACTTCACACTGCTGGACCCCAAGGCATCCATGCTGACCATGGCCTTCCTCAATGGAGCCCTGGATGGAGCCATCCTTGGAGACTACCTGAGCAGGGTCCCTGAGCCCCAGCCACCCCTCAGCCTCTTGCTCAGAGAGTACTATGGAGCTGGGGTGGCTGGAAACCCTGAATTTCGAAGCAACTACCGACGGCAGAATGGGGCTAATCTGACCTCAGCTCCCAGCCTGGCACAGCTGGTATTGGGGACTCTTGTCCTGTTACAGAGTGTGGAGCCAGGACCACCACAGCTGCAGAACATCAGCCAGGAACAGCTGGGCCAGGTGGCCAGTCACGCTGCCACCGAGTTCATGGAGGCATTCCTGGGTGAGAAGATCCCTGCCCATGTGACCCTTCCTGTCATAGATACAGACATGCCCAGTGCCATGGGATTGAGGCATGCGGGGCCACAAGAGCCCAGAGCGCACATTAAGGGCTTTGGATGGGGGAAGGGCAGCCACCGTAGCACTTGTAAGATGTGCTAGAAAGAATATGGCTTTAAAGGATGAATAGGAGTTTATCTGCTTTCTTGAAGGGAATGCTTTTTGTTTGGTTTGGTTTTGTAGTAGGTAGTGGGCTTGAACATGGGTCTTCACATGAAGCTATATCCACAGCCCTTTTTTATTTATTATTTTGAGAGAGAGAGAGAGAGAGAGAGAGAGAGAGAGAGAGAGAGAGAGACTTTTAAGTGACCCAGACAGGGCTCAAACTTGCAATGCTCCTGCCTGAACCTCAGAATGTGCTGGAATGACAGGTTTGCACCATGAACCACTATGGGCAACCTCATTTGAAACTTTTTTAAAGTGAAGAAGACCTTGGTGTGATGGGACATGCCTATGATCTCAGCTGCTTGGAGGCTAAGGCAGAGAATCACATATTCAAGGCCAGTGTGGACAACTTAGTAAGACTTTGTCTCAAAAAAAAAAAAAAAGATAAAGGGTGAGGGCTATAGCTAAGCAGTACAGCACTTGCTTAATAGGCAAAGCCCTGGATTTGATCCAGCACTGCTAAAAGAAAACCAGGCAAAGACTGTCTTGGTTAGCTTTCCATTACTGTAACAAAATACCCAAGCAAAAACAACTTAAGAAGAAAGGTTTATTTCAGCTCATAGTTTTCAGTGCAGACTTGTCTGCCCATTGCTACTGGGCCTGTAGCAAGGCATCATGGTGGAATGAGTAGCAAGTGACAGAGGAAAGTGCTCACCCCTTGCAGCTAGGAGCAAAAAAAAAAAAAAGGAAGGACTGGAGCCCCAGTGTCCCCTCCAAGGCACATCCACGGTGATCTGATTTCCTCCTACTAGACCCCACCTTGAAAGTCCACACCACCTCCCAATAGTGCCGAGCTGGGGACCAACCAAGCCTTTAACTCCTGGGTCTTTGGTGACATCCCAAGTCCATACCATGACCACACATTGCAGGTAGCCAGCTCAATCAGCGCAGACGCACAGAGAGATTCACTTGTTCTTAGCCAAAAGGCCGAGAAGTGATGAACAGAGGTTCAAATGGAAGTTCAGCTCAATAAAGGCAGCCTAAGATTCCTTTCTCGGTGCTACTACCCTCCTCCCCTGAGTCAGGGCAGGGTCAGCTGGAGGGCCACTGTTTCAGGTCCATTTTAAGACCTACCCTGCTTTAGGATGCCTCTACCACCACAAATTCCTCCTTCCCAGGCTCTGTCCATTAGGTATACTCAGATATTCAGTTGGGTCCCTGGTCAGCCAAGTCCCGCCCACCAGACCCCCTCCTCCAACATATAGCTGTTAGCTCTTTCACCCTTCTGTTCTTCTGTCCCTCAACACCCACTGAAACCCAGGCCCCACCCACCAAGGCCACAGGCCTCACCCGCATTCGCTGACACTGCACTTGAGAAAAATCTGTGCTAAAATTCGAATTTTATCCCAAAAGTTATAGAAGGCACAGAGGATAGTCCAAGAGTGGGATAGTCCAAGACTTCAATTTAGTTAAGTTAGATCCTAGTGGGGGCCAGTATGGGATGAGACTGGATCTCCCTGTATCTGGGACGATACTGGAGGAACATCCACGCATGCACATTCACAGGGGCACAGACGCCAGGCAGGAATCTTTGCTGACCCAGCTTTGACTCACTCACCTCCAGGATGCCCAGCCATCCACCCTCGCTGCCGCTGGGAAGCGAGGCCCTACCGGGGTAGTCCGACGCCACTGAAACTGCCGCTCGGGTTCTTATATGTGCATCACACGTTTGAACCGGCGCCACCCTGCACCACCTTCGATGGCTGCGCAGCCAACATGCGCTCCATGCAGCGTTTCCACCAGGACACAAGAGGCTGGGACGACATCGGCTACAGGTGGGTGGGGGCGGAGTCATGGGCGGAGCCAAAGAGCAGAGTGATGGGTGGTGCTTGGCTGGGGAGGGATTGGCGGGGTGGGTGGGGCCATCAGGGCGGGGCGGGTCTGATGGGCAGAGTGAAGCTAGTGGGCGTACCCTGTCGAGGCCGAGGAGGGTTTGTGATGGGCGGAGCCAGGTTAGAGCAGGGGCGGTCCTTAACTGGGAGCCGGAAATAGCTAGACCCGTTGATTGTTGGGTCAAGGAAAGACTTGGATGATGGGGGGCCTGGCTCTAGCTCAGTCCTTTAAGTGGCTGCTTCCGCAAAGCTGTCAGCCTCAGGTTGCTGGAGTTCGAACCTCACAACTCTCCCGCTGGCCTAAAGTGTCCTGAAGGCATTCGAGAAACAAAAAAAAAAAAAAAGAAAGAAAGACCAGGATGAGAGGCAGAAATTGGGAGAGCTGTGGGATCTGGGTCTGGCCCTGGCAGTGGTAGTCTGAGAGAAAAGCTCTCAGCTGAGTAAGACCTGGACCTGAGAACTGGAGGAGAACTGGAGGAGGGACAGAGGGCAGGAAGGGGACACGGCCAACGCTGAGGAGGATGATCCAAAGAGACAGGAAAATTTCTGGGATAGCCCGTGGAGTGGGAAAGTTGTAGAGCCGAACAGGACAGAGGCAGGGTGTCAGATTAGGAGTCACAGGGTCCTTGGAGTCAGGGGCTATTACGGTGAAATATTTCTCAGGGTCAGATGACCCTGGATGTCAGGTGGCCCTTGAAATCAGGTGGCTAGTGATGGTCACAAGGACAGAATAGAGAGGGACAGCCCGGGGAAGAAATGAGTACCCCCCTCATTCCCACAACGCTACTTCCCCTCTCCCTGCAGTTTTGTCGTAGGCTCTGAGGGCTACTTGTACGAGGGCCGCGGCTGGCACTGGGTGGGCGCACACACGCGCGGCTACAACTTCCGCGGCTTCGGCGTGGCCTTTGTGGGCGACTACACCAAGACATTGCCCAGCAAGGCCGCGCTGCACACTGTGAGGGATACTCTCCCAAGCTGCGCAGTGCGAGCCGGCCTCCTGCGGAGCGACTACCAGGTGTTGGGCCACCGCCAGCTTGTGCACACGGACTGTCCTGGCGACGCGTTCTTCCGCCAGCTGCGCACCTGGCCGCACTTCTCCGAGGTCAGTCCTCTGGATGCACAGGCTCTCCGCAGCCCCTGACCATCTTCCTGGCAGTCTTGGATGCCAGCAACCTAACCTAGGCCCAGCCTTCAGCCTGCCAGCAGTATTCCCTGTCCTGTGACTTCTGCCTGCATAACTCCAGCCCAGCTTACACAACTTTGGTCTTGCTCTGGGGCCCTGCCAAAGGCCTTCCATCCATCTGTATAACACTAACCAATCCTTTGACTCTACCGAAAACCCCTTTGCCTGCACAACCTCTGTCCAGGCCCTAACCCTGTATTGCAATCCTCCTGATCAGCAAATGTCAGTCCTGAAAATGTTGTTTAGCCCAACGACACTTAGACCCACCCAGTATAACTCAGCCACTGAGAGTAATCAGGGCTCAGCTGGGAAAGGTCATCCTAGCCACCAACCACAGCCACTGAAATGCTTCCTCATGCCTGGACAATCACATCCCACCTGCATCCCACCTTATTAGTCTGGCCCCCTGGCCTGCAGTGAGCTTTTAGCCACTCCTACATTTTGGACCCTATCCTAACCCATGGAGGTTCCCACCCTGAGGAGGGCAGGGACAGCTACACATTCACTCCAGCTGGTGTTTGCTCAAGGCTTCCAGACTGGAAACTAAGAACTGCCAGGCTGGCCTCTGAGATATCCAGGAGGGCACTACCTCTCACAGTCAATTCCTCCAGCAGCTGGAAATCTCCAATAAAGTCACCACAGAAAGAAAAGCTCTGGTCTCACATTGTCTGTGTTTCTACCCATTGCGTAAGTCGGGCTTTGTTCAGTAGCAGGCCTGAGACCAAAAATCCAGAATAAGGAGCTATGGGTGCAGTGTAACGGTAGAGCTCAGCATGCTAGAGACACTGGCTTCCATCTCCAACACCACAAAAATAAAAAATATTCGAAAGCAAGCCAAATGTGTTGGCACACAGCTAGAATCCCAGCACCCTGGGAGGCTGAGGCAAGAGGATCACAAGTTAAGAGTAGCCTGGGCAACTCAGTGACTTAGCAAGACCCTGTCTCAAAAATTTAAAAAAAGAGGGCTGGAAGTTAGCTTGGCAGCATAAGTGCCTGCCTGGCAAGCACAGGGTTCTTAGTTCGATCCCCAGTACTGCATGCCTTGCCAGTCCTGGAACCCTGGATGCTGGCGTGCTGGCCCTGGAACTGACTATGGTGGTGAATGCCTGTAATCCCAGCACTGGGAAGGCTGAAACAGGAGGATCACTATGAGTCCAAACTGTGGAGTGAGACCTTGTATCAAAAATAAAAAAATAGGGCTGGAGAGATAGCTCAGCAGACTAAAGCACCTGCTTAGGAAAGTTCAGGCAAGTGCAGGGACTGCGGTTCCATCCCTGGCATCACATGCCACACCAGCCCTGCCCCCAGGGCAGGCTGCACTGCCCAGAGTCCACGCATAGTGGTGTATGCCTGTAATCCCAGTGCTGTGGAGGCTGAGAATAGGAGGATCACTATGAGACCAAGGTGCGTAGTGAGACCTGTAGCAACCAAGTGTAATAGATAGATAGATAGATAGATAGATAGATAGATAGATAGATGCTGGTGAGATAGCTCAGCGGTCTACGAGCCTGCCTGGCAAGCACAAGGACCAGAGTTCGATCCCCACTACCACATGCTATGCCATTCCTTAGAACCCTGGACATGCCATAGTTCCCCAAAATGTGCATGGTGGTGCATGCCTGTAATCCTAGCACTGGGGAGGCTGAGACAGGAGTATCACTAAGAGTTTAAGCTGTGACCCCGTGCCACACAAATAAATAAATAAAATAAAAAGTAAGAAGAGGTTGGGGACAGAGCCTAGTGATAGAGCACATGCCTAGCATGCTCCAGGGCCTGGATTCCATCTCCAGGACGACACAAAAAAGAAAAAAAATAGGGCTGGCTGGACTGTCACTCAGTGATAGAGCACTTGCCTCAGGTGTATAAAGCGCTGAGTTTGATCTCAAGTATCACAAATAATTATATTTGGTTTTTTGATTTTGGTTTTCTGGGACAAAGTCTCTCTATGTTGTCCAAGCTGGCCTTGAACCCACTATGTAACCCAGGCTGATCTCAAACTCAGGGCAATCCTCCTGCTTCAGCCTCCTGAGTGCTGGGATTACAGGTACACACCAACACACTAGGCTACATTATGAACGGTTTAAAACTTGATGTTATCATCCTGTACAAATAAGGAAACATGAGGTCAGAGAGAGGAAATGACTTGCCAGAGGTCACACAAGTAGAAAGCAGCCAGCTGGTGCTCAAACCAATTCCTGTCTGGCTCTGGGATCAGAATGACACTGACCTACTCACTTGTAAGACCAGAGTTTGCCCACCTTTTGTTGGGAGAGGGGGTTTTGAGACAGGATCTCACTGTGTAGCCCAGCCTGGTCTCAAAATCACAGTGGGCCTCATGCCTCAGCCACCCAAAAGCTGGGATGACAGGCCCCCACCACCACACCTGGCTATCCACCGTTTTTTTCCCAAGAAAATATTTATTGAGGTTTAAAGTACAGGATAGCAAACCAAAACATATTTCTTAGTGAATTTCACTTGTGGAAACTGCATTCAGCTCAAAGTAGAATGTATTAAGTTTGAGTTATGTGAATTTCACTTCTACTGAAAAAAGAAACAACCAGGTTTATAGGAGAACATCTATAATCCCAGCACTTGGTAAACTGAATCAGGAGGACTGCGGTGAGTTCTCAGCCTGCGTGCCCTAGTGAATTCAAGGTCAGTCTGGGCTACATTAAAAAAAAAAAAAATCAGCTTCCAGAACTCTCCTTTGTCACCAGTCTTTGTAAAGGAAACTGATACTCTGCCTTGTTACACGTATTCCCTCTTGCTTAGGAACTTTGCTCCCATGGAAACATACAATATGTACTTTTGGTATGGTAGCAGTGGTACTGGGGACGTAACCAGGGTCTTCTCCCTCAGCTACATCCTCCATTCTTTCTTATGTTATACTTTGAGACAGGAACTTACTAAGTTATTGAATTGCCTGGGCTGGTTTTTAAATTAATAATCCTTCAGCATCAGACTCCCACAGTGCTAAGAATACAGGCCTGAACCACTACACCTAGTTTATACAATATATACTCCTTAATTGTGTTTTTGGCTTGTTTTTGTTTTGGCTCAGAGTTAAAAGGTATGATTCAATTGATGTGATCTAAAGTCAATCATTAAGTAGCTCTTGGTCCTTGCTGCATAGTATTCCACTGTATGAAGATACCATAATAAATAAAAATTTGAAATTCTATTCTTTTTTTCCTTTTTTGATACCAGGGATTGAACTCAGGATCCTGAACTTTAAAATTCTATTCTTTTTTTAAGGCAATACAGGTGTGGTGGCATACACCTGTAATCTCAGCACTTAGGAAGCTAAGGTAGGAAGACTGCCGTGAGTTTGAGGCCAGTCTGAACTGCACAGTGAGACAAAACAGTCTTAAAACAAAGACATAAACAGAGCTGGGGAGATAGCTCAGTAGAATAAGTGCCTGCCTGGCAAGCTCAAGGTCCTAAGTTCAAGCCCCAGTGCCACAAAAAAAAAAAAAAAAAAGACGAAAACAGGTAATCATTATGTTCCAGGCTGGCCTTAATTTCACTATGTAGCCCAGGATGGCCTCTAACATGGGCAATTTTCCTGCCTCAGCCTCCTAACTTCTGGGGTGACGGGCCTGTGTCACCATGCCCAACAATCTATTCCTTAAGGAGCTAGGGCTATGCTCTGCCAGCTGCAGATGAGAACTCCCAACTCTGCCAACATTTACATGACCATTTTACAGAAGAGATGAGTGTTACCTCTTGGTCAGTGAAGGAGTCTTGGACCATCTTGCAGAAGCCACCTCCCTCTGCCACCTCCCCTCCAACCCCTCCCCTGCATCCTGCCCTGGCTATGCCCTTGCAGCCTGGCTGTAGGGTGGGGTAGGACAGCCGGGGTCACGTGGAATTGGGTTCAGTGGGAGGAAGCCAGGCTGGGTGCAGACGGCTGCTGATTCTGGGGCTGGCCAGGAAATCAAGGTAAGAGAGAGGAGGGCTCATGGCTCCCAAGGGGTTCCCTGGAGGCAGAGTTGAGAGCAGAGAGAGGACAGAGATGAGGATGGTATGCAGGCAGGTGCTAGGCACGGATGTCACCCACTTGTGCTCCAGGATCGCCTCTGCCATGGACTCACCGTCGCGGAGCCAGCACTGCCAACCCCAGCCCTGGGCCCCCTCTCCGCTGACGTCCTACCGCTGGCACCTGGGGAGCAGTGGGGAGAAGGGGGCTGGAGGCTTTCGCTGGGGTCGCCTCACCGGCTGGGGAAGAGCATTGAGCCACCAGGAGCCCATGGTGAGCAGCCAGCCAGCCCCTCGCTCACTATTCCGTCGAGTGCTGTCTGCACCCCCCAAAGAGTCTCGGAGCAGTCGCCTCCGGCTCTCCAAGACCCTCTGGAGTCGGCACAAGAGCACACCACTGGAACCAGAGCCTGAGCTAGAGGCTGCAGGTAGGAGCTCCCCCACCCTGCGCTGCGCCGGCCCGGGCTACGTAGCCGGATGCTTGGGTTTTGTCTGCCACTGGAACATCAGCCCTCTAGACACAGGAAGTTGTGGGGAGCACAGAAGCCTGGCAGGAAGTGGCGGAGGCCCAGCAGCCCTCTTCCTTCTTTCTACCTAAAGAGAAGGGGGGAGGTGTTGCCACGAACCTATGGGTCCAGGCTGGGAAAGTGACAGGGGATAACTCACAATAGCACTGTGACTCACGGAGGTAGAGTGCCAAATGGCTCTTGGCTCCAACTAGTCTCACCTGTGTCCAGTGGTCCTCAATGGTTCTTCTGCCTCCTAGCCTCATGACTTAGTCTCTTCGCCTCCCTGAGCTTTGCTTCCCATCAGTTTTTTCCTTGTTTTTGGTTGTATTGAGACTAAGTCTCACTAGGTAGCCCAGGCAGGCCGTGAACTCACAGCTGTCTTCCTGTCTCAGTGTCCTGAGTATGGAATGACAGGCACGCACCAGCACGCCTGGTTGCCCCATCAGTTAAATGTTATTAGTGTGCTCTGCCTTGAAAAGTACATCGCGTGGGCCATGGAGATAGAGCAGCAGGATAAGTGCCTGCCTGGCAAGCACAAGAGCCTGAGTTTGATCCCCAGTACTGAAAAAAAAAAAAGAAAGAAAGAAAGAAAGAAAGAAAGAAAGAAAGAAAGAAAGAAAAGAAAAGCATATCACTTCATCAATTTATGTTCCTTCAGTCATCAGCTAAGTAGGGGGTTGTTGACCATTGATTGCGTGCAAGTCTCTGATACGTAAGACATGATGGTGACCGAGTCAGGTGACATTCTGCCCTATTGTGCTCATGGAAGAGAGGGTGACAGTAAAAAGTCAACAGAAAATGACAGGAGGAGGCGAGACAAGGTGAAATGTCTGTAATCTTAGTATTTGGGAGACTGAGGCAAGAGGATAACTGTGAGTTCAAGACCAGCTTGAACTGCAAAGAGATCTTGTCTCAAAAAAAAAAAATAAGAAAGAATGAAGGAAAGAAGAGAAAGAAAGGGGCCAAGGATAGCTCAACAGCACAATGCCTGCCTGGTATGGTGAACTCTGAGATCCTGAGTTCTATTGAGAGAGAGAGAGAGAGAGAGAGAGAGAGAGAGAGAGAGAGAGGAAGGAGGAGGAAGAGGAGAGAAAAGATGACAGAAGAGGTGCCAAGAGTCATGGAGAGGGACCTAGAAAGGGAATGGATGTCACATGGATTGGAGCTCAGCGGAATACCCAGCCCTGCACCTGCCAGGCGCCTGGCACAGTTCAAGAGACCCGCCGAAGAGCAGTTATCCTCTGCTGCCCCTAGCGGTAAAGCTGGGGAACACACCGTTCACTTGGGCAAGCTCATGCAAGTCTCCCGGGTCCACGCTTCGCAGAGGCATCCCTTCAACCCTCTGCGGGGGATCAGGGCTTGCCCACTGAATAGGGTCCAGAGAGAGCTCTCTGATCAGTGGAACTGCAACTCATCTGATTAACCCCCTCCCATGGCTACTACTACCCTCAAGCTAAAACTCTCCAGCTAGTGCCCAAAGCCGTGTTTCTTCTCTTTGTGGCCCTTCCCTTGCAGCCTCTATACCCCAGTGCCCCTTGTCCTTCCCTTTATTTTTCTGAACCCTGTCCATCCTCTACCAGTTTAGCAACAAACTTGTGGAGATGCCCCTGCCTCTGCCTCCCCAGTCCTGGGATGACATATGTACGCCACTATGCTTGGCCTTCTCTCCGTGTCAAAATCAAACTTCCTATTTAAGACCTTGAGCAAACCTGCTCCCTCTGGAGTTCTTCTTGGTGTAGAAACTTTTATCATTTCCCCAGAAAGAGGCTACCACCTGCCCTGAGTTTTCTCTCCTCCTCTCTTAAACTTTGAATACTTTCTACCTTTAGATTTAGTTGTTTGAGGGGCCAGGGAGATGGCTCAGTGAAATAAGCACTTTCCTGGCAAGTGTAAGGGCCTGAGTTCAATCCCTGATTCCACAAAAAAAAAAAAGAAAGAAAGAAGGAAAGAAAGAAAAAAAAATAGATTTAGTTGTTTAGATAAGGAACCAAAGATCGTGTCTTTGTTTTTGTTTGTACTGGGGATTGAACCCAGGCCTTTGTACTGGGCTACATTCCTAGGATTTATTTATTTACCTGTTCATTTATTTGCCCAAGGCGGAGTCTTGCTAAATTGCCCAGATTGAGTTCAACCTTGCAATCCTCCCCTGACTCAGCCTTCCAGAGCTGTCCTGTTTGTTGTTATTTATTTGTTTGATACAGGTCTTGCTATGTAGCCCAGGCTGACCTCAAATTTGTAGTGATCTTCCTGCCTCAGCCTCTTGAGTACTGGGATTATAGGCCTGCACACCACATCCAGCTAGCTGTCCTGTTGTTTAGCATCTTGGACCTACCCAATGTTATGGTTAAGAGAAAAATGTTTGTGTTTGAATCTCAGCTCAATCCTCAGCAACTGTGTAATCCAGAGCCAGTGATTCAACCTGTCTGGGCCTTAGTTACTATGGCTGTTTGAGTGGTTTTTGGAGGAGCAAGAGCGGGCAGGCATCTTCAGTCCTGGCACAGAGCAGGTGGGCTAAGTCGACCACTAAGGATGGTGGACACGAAGCTCGGAAAGTGGCAGAGCTTCTCAAGGGCAAATAGTGTGGAATGGTTGCTGGATGATGCACCTAGGAAAGAACCCCCAGTGAGCCTTCTGCTGGAGAGGGAGAGGGAAAGGAAGGGTCCTAAGGTCTCCTGGCATGTCCTCCTCTTCCCAGAGCCAGAGCTGGAGCCAGAGCCACTTGTCCCACAGATCCCTGAAGCTCCCACCCCAGATGTGCCTGTCTGGGACATTGGGGGCTTCACTCTGCTTGATGGAAAGCTGATGCACATTAGAGCTGAGGAGGAGGTGAGAAGGGTGTGGGGTTGAGGGGAAGGACGGGAAGCAAACAGAGGCAGGGCAGGGAGTGGCCATGAGGGAAGGCACCTAGCCCCCTGAGGACAGACTGCCTGACTGCCCCCTCCCTCTGACAACAGGGTCCTCGCCGGCCCCGGATGGAGAGCGCTAGCTCAGAGGGCAGCATGCAAGCAGCTATGGGAAATCTCAGGGATCCAGGTGAGTTTGGGGTACAGGAGGCTGGGGCATTTGGGAGCCTCTCAAAGTAGAGCAGAATCGAAGCGGATTTCAACCCCTCACTTCCCACCTCCCACAGATCGAACCCCTGGAAAGATGGAGCCAGAGGCTGCAGGCTCCAGCCAGGTCCACAATGTTCGGGTGAGGCAGCCAAAGGGAAGTGAGGGATGGAGGTAGGGTGAGCAAGAACCCCCAGATCCTCATAACTGAGAAGGCCATCCATTCTCCTGACCGATCTGGGCCAAGCGGACCTTCTCTGGGCCTCTGTGTCCCCTATGTGTCAAAGAGAGCCAGTGACAGATCTCCCTGCTGGGGTCTGTTTACAAAGAGTTTGTGGAGACTGTATTATTGGTTAGTGCTTTATGGAAATGTGAGCCAGCTGGGAGTGGTGGCACATGCCTGTAATCCTGGCGCTTGGAAAGCTGATGCAGGACAATCTTGAGTTTGAGGCCAATTTGAGCTACATAACAAGACCTTGTCTCAAAAAAAAAAAAAAAAAAAAAAAAAAAAAA